CCGCCTCCAAGCATAGACTTCATCATGGCCGATATTGAGCAGAAAGGCTAGAAATTCTAGGTCTGGGACTGCATTTCAGGTGGAAAAATTGGGTTTTCTTTTTGTACTTGCTGAGCTTTCCCAAACAGGTGAATGATGTGATCAGAACTAGAATTTAGGAAGATTAGTTGAGTGGATATTCAGAGTAGGACTAACAATTTATGTGAAATAAATGGTTAAGAGAAAAATTTACCTATTGGTAGCTTATTTACTGGTTTTACTTACGAGTCTCCTGTTTGTAATTTTAACTGAAGTTTTTTTCTCACAATACAAAAGTCATCAGATTGTTTTTTAGGGTACTAGTCACTGAAGATAACTAATAGATAGACTCCAGATAAAAAGTGAGGAACATTCAGCTTAAGGTTCTAATTATGATCTTTTCTTCATCCAATATTTTCAGTTATTTATTTTGTAATTAATCCTGGCCCTTCACATTCCCCTCCCTCTCTCTCTCTCTCTCTCTCTCTCTCTCTCTCTCTCTCTCTCTCTCTGAAGGCATTTTTTAAGCTTTGTTTTGACAGTGTTTTGAAAATGTTTTCTGGTTGATCGAGAATGGATATGTTCCATTTTCCTCTACACTCCCAATTTATTAAGCTTCTATTTCCATTTTAATATACTATTTTAGGAAATTTTTGCCTTATTTTTGGCACTAGTTTGTCTAATTGGTGTGAACGTTATTTGATGTTGATAGTCTTGAAATTCAAAGTAAAGTGTCTTGGGAAAAAAGTCTAGGTCTCATAGCTAGTAAATGAAAGAGCTGGAATTGAAACTTAGTTCTGCCGGATACAGAGTCAGAGTCATTTTATACTTGTAAGCCTTGGTTTCCTTATCTGTTAAATGGAGACATTGCTAGTACATTTCTCATTTAGAATAGTCATGAAAAATGAAATATATATTGATTGCTCAGCATAATGCTGTCATATGTTGTTTGTTTATAAGCAGTGTTTTAAATAACATGCATTATAGAATCATGGTGTTTATGAATCTAAGAAACTTAGTTGATTCAATTGAGAAGTAATTTTTGAATTTTTTTAGTTACAATTTTTCTTTTCAAATTTAATATTTGAAATTATCCAATTACAAAAACACTAAGCACTCTTTGAATTTGTGTAGTATAATGAGTGAGACTTGTGTCCTCAATAGTTTCTTTAATTTTCCCCTACAGACTGTCATTCTACATGTTGAGTTCTGTTTTGTGTTAATTTTTACTGTTTCCCCCCCTTCTCCCCCCATTGAAATGCAATAGCCCTGTAGTGTCTTAGTGGAAACATTGTTCTCTTTGTTAGGGCTAAAAAGTGCCTTTGTCATTCCTTTGAGACATTCTGCAGATGCCCTTTTGCAGTTTTGAAAAATATGTCCCTGTCCTCCTTGTGCTGTGTTAAATTGTGCGTGTGTATATGGCTTGGTATTTTAATGAAGTTGTAATGAAAACTTGACAGTGATACTTGTCATATGATAACAAAACAAAAAGAGGCTCTTTCCTGATAGAACGTAGATTTGTGTCCTCTGTCTTTCTGTAGCTTGTGTGGTCTGAAAGCAGATCCCTCCTCGCTTAGCTGTGCCCTCAGATGTTTGATGCTTTTTGACTAACCTCATAGGAAACTGTTAAAACAACTTCTGAGCAAGAACTCTAAGCCTTTTGTTGATGTGTATTGCTTTTTAAAGATCTCCTAATTTACATGTTCTTAATAGCATTTTAAGTGGCAAGTATACATTCTAATTTGCTGAGTCGCTTTAATCCTCGTATTAAGAGGAGAAGAGGGGACAAAAATGTGTTGGGAAATTGCCCTGATAAAAATTCAGGAAATTCCTCTCATTCTTTTAAATTCAGTTAAAATCTAACTTTAAAAAAAAGGCCTCTGATGTAACTGTCTGAGAGCATGTGATTCTTGAGTCCAGTAATTTCTTGCATACAGTGCCAAGCTCGAAGAGAGGAATATGAATGTTCCTCTGTGTTTTAGGTAAATCTGTAACACATGGCGTGGCACCAGTTTATTATAACTTTGCTGGGGCTTAGTCATCCTTTTTGTATGGCCTTTAAAAATGGTAAGCAGGAATATAGAAATAAAGGGAGAAAAACATTTTTTGCTTTAACGGACTTTAATTTATTTAAATTTTTTTATTAATTACAATAATATGTTCAGTGGAGAAAAGTGGTAATATAGAATAATACAAATAAAGCAAAATTTCCTGCTGCCCACATTCAGGAACAACCACTTGTTACCATTTTGGCTAAGCATCTCCAGTCTTTTATCTGTCAATTTTGTACACATGGGTTAAAACAACAGCATTATCCTTTTAAACCTGCTTATTTTTCCTTGGCACGATGTGGCAAATATGTCTCTATAAATACTTAAGATAGTAGTGCTTAATTTTGGAAATGT